ATGTCCAGAATTTTCCACTTCCTGCTCTTTCCTGGCATTTAGGAATTTCTGATTCAGAGGCTGCATCGTTTTCTTCTGTGTTGTCTAGCCACTGAGAGACCTTTCCTCTGTTAATCTATTTCCCTTTTGAACTTTGTTAAACTGTCAGCATCCACCACATCTTGTGGCAGTGAGTTCCACGAGTTAATTACACACTAGGTGCATCTACATGAGACATTTACTGTGGAGGGCACTAATTAGCTCCACAGTAAATGTGTCAATGTCTACATGTTCACCCCTATTACAGCATAGGAAAATAATAAGTTCCACAGCAGGGTAGTACTTGTAAATCGAAGTACTTGTATTTACAAGTACTACTGTGGTGCAGAGTGAAAAACTCCACAGCAGTACACATGTAGATCCTGATGTGGCTGGCTGGAGCACAAGGGTGCTTCAGTGAAGGGGCTGCCTGCCAGGTAGCCCTGCGCCGAAGTATCCACTTGCCCCAGCCATCCCCTCTACATCACACTGAGGCCAGTCAGAGCATCCCTGAGCTGGCAGGCTGACTCCTTGGGCCCCCTGGCAGCTGGGGCTACCGCAACTCAGCTCAATGTACTGCAGTCCAGGTGCAAGTGTAAATGGCACACCTGGGAGCTTCCCAGGAGCAATAAACTCCAGACCAATAAGCTACTCAATTTTAAAACCTTATTTATATTCTTTGCATCATTCACTTTATAAACCTCTATCAAGTCCCACCTCAATCATTTATTTTCAAAGCTGAAAAATCCCACTTTATATCATTTGCCCTTCCATGTCCCCAATCATCTTTGCCCTTTTCTGTACATTTTCACTTATTTCAGTTGTTCCATATCCTTTTTAAGGTGGGGGGGACTAAAACCATATGCATTATTCAAGGTGTGAACACACCGTATATTTGCAAAGCAGTATAATTATACTTAGTTTGGTTTATAATTCCCTTCAAGTGTTTATTTTCTCAATAGTACTTAGAATTGGGCAGTAATTGTCCCATGTGTTTTCAAAATTTCAAACATTTCCCTTTACTAAACGGATAAAAATACTGGAAAATTTTAACTAAACAAAAAGAAAAGAATCTACTCGGGTCAGTCAAAAACATTTCATTTTTGATAATTTCAACAGACTTGCTTCAGTTTTGACCTTTTTAATTTTCTTGGATTTTTTTTTTGTTTGCTTTATAATGTAACTTAAAGCTGTAAATAAAATTTAACATGAAACTGAACATTCTAACTTTTATTTCATACTGGCAAAACCAAGATTATGAACAACTATGAAACTTTTTCAAATGTTTTTCAAACAAAGGAGCTAGTCAAAACCCACAATTTTCTATTAAACATTTCAGTTTTGACAAATGATTATTTTCTGAAAAAAAGTTTTATCCAAAAATTCCTGACCAGCTCTGGATAGAAATGATAAATTGAGCCTCCCAATCAATCCTATTACTAGGACGCTCAATATATCCTACTGATGTGAATTAGATTTTTTTTAAACATACATAAAATGAAAAGACTCTTAACTTCAGTGGAGCTGGATAACTTGGCCAACACCAGAGTAGTTGTGCCGGGGCTGGAACCAACAGTGAAAGCTTGGTACAGCAGAGGGGTACCTGGCTCATGTCGAAGCTGGGTGAGGGCTGCAAATTGCTCATATTATTATCTCTGTGGAGTGGTCTGACAATAATTGAACATGTGTTACTTAATACAGTCTGGAGATGCTCCTCACGTGACAAGTCCTAACCACAGCCAGACACTTAATCTTAAGACATAGAAAATGTTAGTGTTATTCTAAGTTCCCTTTTTGTATCTGATGCTAAGTAAATATTTTCTTCTTCAAAAACCAAGAGCCAAATTCCGCCTATAGGTTTGGAACTGACATTGAGGGAAGTAAGTGTATTTCTGAGGCACATTATAAAGTTTTGCTGGCATAGCTACATGGGTCTATGTGAAAAATGTGGGGAAAGAAATCCCATCCCTTAGTTGACTTAACTATACCAACAAACCCTCTGATGTACTATGTTGATTAAAAAAGTGCCTTTGTTTACTTATCCTAATTCATGTGATGAGATTATATGGATCTGACAGTAGTAAACTTTTGTCAACATTCACTGCTTCTACACTGGGTCGGGTCTGCTAACATAGATATAGTAGCTGATGTTCAGGGTAGGCTGAACCCATCTCCAAAATCATTACCTCTAGTCCTCAGCCCTTCTGTCCTTGACATACCAGAACTCTGGAAGCTGCTGCAAAATTTGTTTGCAGTAATACTGTGCACAGCCATTCTTTACTAAGCTTCTGGGCTGATTAAACTAATTTTAGAAATCTGTAAACAAAATAGGCATATAAAATAGAATGTGATTGTTTATACAATCGGCAATTCCTAATTGGAGTCACAATAAGAATAAATTCCTGGTTGATGAAATGAGGATGTTGTTAGCTATACTTAGAGCAGAACTCTGCTTCCCTTTGTGCATCTAAATGGTGTTCAAGTGGTCTATTTGGGTTTTTGGCCTTGCATTTAGACTGTGGGTGCATTAGCATATGCAGGTAGACTGAGAGTGTGCAATCGGGCCACACGCTGACTGGACACGTCGACAGCTATACACATATCTGAACACACACCTGAATATAAATCCTTGAAAAGCAAGGCGGGGGACAACAGGGGTCCTTCCTGTGCTTGAGCTCAATGACCTGATAGCTAAGGTCCAGGAAGGTAGAGGCCTAGGTTCTGGGCTCCTCTTTGCCCAGAGAGGGTTTGAAGTTACACTTCTCTGACTTCCCAGCACAGTGCTCTAAGCAGCAGGCAAAAGGTTAGGTAACCTTTTCTAATGCTCCTTTTGATGCTGTACCATTGTATAGAGAGCAGCACAGTAGGAATAGTTTTTACTCCATTGAAATGAAGGGTCCAGACTAGAAACCAGTGCCTTCTCCCCTCTAAGGCAGGAGCCATCTCACTGAGCCAAATACCCTCCAGCTTGGTTGCATCTACACAAGACGCTGACTGCGCAGTGGTTACTTGAACACAAGTACTAAATTTATACACAAGTACTAAATGACTAACTGGAGTTGCTGCACAGTAGCGTCGCCGAACAACTTTTAGGTGACACTGACTGCACAGTAGCTTGTTACTACTGCACAGTAGTGTTTCATCATGCTTCATGCCACACTATGCTACTGCACAGTAGTAATGAGCTACTATGCATCAGCATTTCATGTAGGCGCGGCCTTTGTTCTTGTACCACCACATGTCTCCATCTCTTGGACGCCCACTAACCCACCATAAAAAGTGCACTGGAGACTAGTCTGGATAATGCCTGGCCAGAAGCTACATGGGTTTCTGGCTGGCTTACATGCAGGTACATGTCCAGAATGGCTGTGTATATGTAACCATGTACAGGTTTCCTTCACTTTATGCAGGTTCTTTATGTACAAATTTGCTCTTATGCAATGACCCTTTTTATACCAAAAATTTGTTATATGCAAGGTAAATTCACTCTTATGTGATCAGTAAGAGCCCCCAGTCAGCTGCTTTGTGTGGTGTGTTGTGGGAGTGACGTGCACCAAAATATAATCTTTGGTGTGGATCTATGCTCCTTGCTTATTGTCTGTAACACGTTTCTGTAGTTGCTACCTCCATGATGATAGTCCCCTGTGCTTGCTGTTGGTGAGTACCAAAATTGTCTTGTAAACATGGTAAAAATTGGTCTGGAGGTCAGAACAGCCAAGGTCTTGGAACATATCCCTATTTGTTACATTGTAAAGTGGGTTCCCTTTAAGTGAATTCGAGTTATGCGCTGTTTTCTGGGAACGCATGTACAGCATAAAGCGAGGGAAACCTATACGTACTTAGCAAACGTATGGCCATTGACTGAGCATGCACAATATACACAAGCCTATGGTACTGCTGGGGAAGTTGAATTGTTACCTACATGTAAATGTCAAAAAATGCCATTTTTATAGCTGGAAAAGTGCCATTTAGCTGCATAAAAGAAAACAGAATTATAACTTTAGTGAAAATGTATTATGAAGTATCACTTTCAGATAAGCCTGCTCTCATCTTACATAGTAATATGGCAATGTATAGTTTTAGGGCCTGTTACAAATTAATTTTAGGTAACTCCTGAAGCTCTTAGCTCCTGGGCTGTCCACATATTAATACCTGAAACTAGTTTTACACACACTTCAGGCAGCTTAAAGTTATGCAACTCCAAGGCATGCTTATCTCTGATCCATGTTACCCAGCTTATGTTCCATTAATGTGTGGCCACTCCCCACAGATGAGCCACCCAAGTTACAGTCCTCCAGCATCCCAGGGTGCAGTGCTCTGCCCCCCACTCGTTGTGTGTGAACAATCCTAAACCATTCCATCCCCTGAGCTCTACTGCTCAGGGAATGGTTTTGGCACCAAGCCAACTCCCCCTCCTACCTGCAGGGGTGTGAGCTTCCAACCTGCAGGGGTGCAGCCTCATGCAAACAGCCTGCAGAGCACATGCCAGCTAGGCTGCAAGACACAGACAGGTCCAGGAGTGGTGTCTAGAAGGGATGCAGAGGACCAAGGTAGCTGGCCAGATCAGGTAATCACGAGCTGGGGCTTCCTTCCCAGGGCAGATGCAGTAGCTCCTCCAAAAGTGCCTTCCCACCTCCCAGCCACCCCAGGAAGCATGACCAGCACCATCAACACACCAATCTGAAATCTCATTTTTTTTAATCCTGAGAAAATATTTACTTCCTTTTTATTTCTTCTTATTTTTTTCCCCATTATCCTTCAGTGGTTGAATTCATTTCACTACCCTTCCCCCACCCGTTTCCTTTCCACTTCCCACTTCATTACTCAGCCCCATCCTATTAACTTTATGCCTCCAGCTTCATGCTCCTTCTCCCCCAACCCTCAACCCATCTCTCACACCCCCTGACCTAGAGCAGAGATAGAAGCCTGCCTTGGCTCACCAGCCCCTTAGTGGCAATTCACAACTGTAGCTCCTAGTCAAGCCCTTGCTCACCAGCCCTGTAGTAGCAAGTCACAGCTGTGCAGGTGGGGGACAGTTGGAAGGTTTTTAGCTTTTAAGGTGTAACTGCTCCAAATTTGAGCTACCACTAAAACAAATTAACAGTTGATCAGCTTAAAGTGCAGTGTGCAGCAAGGCCCTTATTTCACTTATTGTCATAGAAAAGGTTTAAAGAAGGAACCATGTGGTTTAAACCCAGGTTTAAAGAAGGAACCATGTGGAGACCAGCCATTAGCCAGAGATGGACTGATCAAGTATGTTTTTATTTCTTCAGAATTCAATAGCATACAGTTGAATATACATATACAACTTCATATACATTCAACTCTTTGCTTACTCAACATTAAACTTTACATAGTTAACATATTGTAAAAAGTGATAAAGCAGAATAATTACCTTTAGGAGGAGGTTTCCTTTCCACTTTTTCTTGTTTTTCTGGTTTGTCTTTCTGAGTCACTAGAATGGAATAAAAACATGCTTTATAGAAATCGGGGTCAAAAACTGAGAAAAGCTATTGCCAAACAATAACAATAATATCAGTGAATATAAACTGTATTTCTTACACGTGACAAATATTGCAGTTTATTTTATGTTTCCTTTTTTTAAAGGTTATAAAAGGTCCAACTTTTATTAGTTTCACACACAGGCTAAAAGTAATCTGTTAGCAACTGCCAAGAAGAACATAGGACTGGCATGACGATTTAAATCAAATTTAACAAAGCTTCTTTCTGAGACAAGTAAGCTCTCCCTTATTACCATATTTTACTGGGGGGAAAAAGAAGACACTTGATCCAAGTGGTAGCTAAGTAACACCATCATTCTGATTTATCATCACACATGGGCACCTGGAGCTCCTGCCTACAGGAACTTGATGTTTCTATGGTTTGTTCTGTATATGCTTTTTACATGATGCATTTAGGTGGTGTTCTGCCCACTACAGGTTCTTGGAACTTTGTATGTTGTTCAGCCCTCAGATAAATTCTGACGCATGGATGAAACTTGGAATGGTGTAAAGCCACCACAATGACTTCTTGTAACAAGTGGGTGTCCCGAGGCCAGTCGAGTCTTTGGTCCGCCCACTTATCTCTGGGCTAACTGCCCACCTACCTCACCCACCATGCCTTTAATAATACAATTGAGAGTAGATAATAAGGTGGGGGGCTGCCCATTTACTTGCCCTGATGCCAAGGGGCTATATACATGGCTTTGAACCTTCCCTTATACCATGTCCCATGCCTCACAGATGGCATCCATGTCTATACCTCCAAGACACTATAAGCAGCAGCTCCAGCCACTCTCTCCAGCTGCTAGCAGCAAAATGCTGGCTTTACTACTCAGAGCCCTGTTCTTATAACAAGCAGCTGGGCTCTGTTCCCAATCAGACGGTTGTGCCTGATTGGGAGTGCAGCCACCTGCAGGCTGCTCTGCTGCCTGCCCACTCCCCTGTGAGTAACAGAGACTCCTGCACACTATCCATTCCCTGCAGCTTGTGTTGGGTACCTGGTCTAAATAACCCTATGTCCAGGTGACTCCAGCTGCTAGAGTTGCCCCTTAACATTGCTGAAATGGAGATACAAAAGGTAAGAAGATATCTGTATGCTACCATCTTACAGCCATTGAAGCTAAACTGTGCTAACTTTAACCTATTTCATGAAGGAGTAAACTATCCCAGTTTAAATACCATTTACCAGGGAATAGGAGCAGACAGAAGAATCACTTACAGCAGATTCAGTTGAACCAGAGGAAATCTTACTCTCTAAAACAGTAGCAGTACTCATCTGTTCAGGTCCTTGCAGCAGATCTCAGATAAGATTGGAATTAGCCTTACAGGGCACATCC